TCTAAGTGACTTTTTTACAAGTCTAAGTCTATCCGTTGTTTATAAATAGACTTTTTTAAAATTTTAAGTATAAATTTTTTTATTAATAAGTTAGATTTTAAATAAGTCAAGTCTTAGGTCCCTATTTAAGATTTGACTTATTCTCATTTCTATATATAGCTTTAGAAAGAGTATCAAGTTTTAAGAAAAGATGATTTTGAAAATAAGTTATTTTTTTTAATGAAATTAACAAATTAATTGATATAAATAACTTTTCTTAATTAATGTAAAATATTTTTTTTTTTGCTTAAATTCTAAAGACATGTTTAGTGAGCATGTTATTTGTCTTTTAAAAAAAAATTAAATTATAACAAAACACAACTAAATGTAAGGTAGAGCCAACCAATAACATATGATAATGTGGCATGGAAGAGATGGGTCATGGGAGCATATTTGCATGTAATTGAAAATAACATAGATGTTTGAGGCAAGACTCGTATATATTTAAATGTAAACGAGAATAGGCTCTGCAAAATTAAAATTAATTTGCATAGAATTTTAAAAAAAATACATAATTTATTCTTCGCTGATTTTTAATATTATTTGATAAAATATAATTGTTATATTTAATTATGAATAAACATAACAACAATTATAATGATTAGCAGGAAAAAGGCACTCCGTGCCTATATTGTATTAAAATAAATAAATAAGAAAAAAATGAGAAGTTACTCATAAAAAGGTAATTATTAAAAAATAAATAAAAGATAAAATGATCTATAAAAAGTAGAAACCAAAAATAATTATTGAAAGTGCTATCTTCTTTATATATTAGTATAGATAGTATAGATATATAATTTATTAACATATTTGACGTATTTGACGATATATATATATATATATATATATAAATAAGTTAAAATTATTAATTTATTTTTATATAAAACATAATTAAATATAATAAATTTTAAAATACTAGTTTTTTTCATCAAATTTTAAATTTTATTTGACTTAAAAAAATTAATAATTTCTTTTATCTTTTTTGTTTCTCAATCATATTCTCTTTTTTTTTTCTCTCCTTTTCTCTTGTTATTCTCACTTCTCTCTCTCTTTTTCTTTATCTCATTTTCTCTCTTTCTTTCTCTATTTTTTTTATCTTTCTCATTTGTTTCTTCTTTTTCTTTTTTCTTTCTTCTTCTTTTCATATATTTTTTTTTCTCTTTTTCTCTCGTCTTTCTTGTTTCTCTTTGTGACACCCTTACTACCCCAACACATATATAATATAGTACTCGGGAGGGAAACCTGTCAGGCTCGAGCGCACTTTGAGTGGTCGGCCGAGGATTGCTTGGCGTCGACATATGTGTGTAATGCTCGGCCTAGGTACATCCTTAGCCGAGGAGGGTACTCGGGAGGGAAACCTGTAGGGCTCGAGTGCACACTTTGAGTGGTCGGCCGAGGATTGCTTGGAGTCAGCGTATGTGCGTAACGCTCGGCCTAGGTACATCCTTAGCCGAGGAGCGTACTCGGGAGGGAAACCTGTCAGGCTCGAGCGCACTTTGAGTGGTCGGTCGAGGATTGCTTGGCGTCGGCGTATGTGCGTAATGCTCGGCCTAGGTACATCCTTAGTCGAGGAGGGTACTCGGGAGGGAAACCTATCAGGCTCGAGCGCACTTTTTGAGTGGTCGGTCGAGGATTGCTTGGCGTCGGCGTATGTGCGTAATGCTCGGCCTAGGTACATCCTTAGCCGAGGAGGGTACTCGGGAGGGAAACCTGTCGGGCTCGAGTGCACACTTTGAGTGGTCGGCCGAGGATTGCTTGGAGCCGACATATGTGTGTAATGCTCGGCCTAGGTACATCCTTAGCCGAGGAGGGTACTCGGGAGGGAAACCTGTCGGGCTCGAGCGCACTTTTTGAGTGATCGACCGAGGATTGCTCGGCATCGGCATATGTGCGTAATGCTCGGCCTAGGTACATCCTTAGCCGAGGAGGGTACTCGGGAGGGAAACCTGTCGGGCTCGAG